TTGGTGATAATAGGGTCGTAAGCGATGGTGGAAATTGGGGACTGTGTGCGCAACAACAATTGGCGGAGTTCGCATGCCCTCGATAAAGAAGTCAAACTTGCTGTTTTGAGGCAGACATGCCGACCACTCTAGGTGGTGGTGAACGCCTTCACTGAGGTCGCTGGCTAGGTCGTGACTGGTCAAACGTGCGATTTTGTTGTCTACAAGACTGATAATCATACCGTCTCTGATACAGGAAATAACGACGACGACGGAATGGTGGGACATACATTCCCAGCATACGGAGTGTCGTTCTTGAATCTTTGCCAGTATGAAGTACCTCATCGGTCTTTTCCGCGAATAATTTTACCCTGTCAAACGGAAGGTCTTCGACCTTGGAGTATAACTCCTTGGGTACTGCTGCTGTGGCGAGCCAGGACGAACGTCTCATAGACACTGCTGTTGCTACCCCTCTAGCCGCCGTGTCTGCTACATCCATAGCTATCTGGAGATTTGCCTTCAAACACGCATAGCCTTCCTTGAGGATTGACCGTAAGAGCTCTTTATCGGCCGCAGAGCTGCATAATTCGCGATGCAAAGAAGTAACGTGGCCGATGAGTATACTTTGCGGCCAAATATGTCCAACTTCTTGGCCTCCTTATCTGCCCCTACATTTTTCAGCTGTGGGTTCTTAGCTCTTTGAAGAGCTGCATCGACGACCAAGGAGTTTGGCTGAGGGTGAGTAAAGAGAATTTCTGAATCTTTAGAGACAAAATAACGTTTTTCCGCCGGTTTCGAAGTTGGAGCAGTCAAAGCCGGGGTATGCCAAATTTCTGCTGCTGACTGGAGGATTGCCTCATCAATAGGGAGAGCAACCTTAGATTGTTGCTTAGGATGTAAATTTCTCCAGAGTTTGAATTGTTTCATCGGGACATTCGATAGCTGAACGTCCTGAGACTGAGCCACCCTCCTAAAAAGATCCTGAAATTCTTTTGTGTTGTCAGGAGGAGAGGAATCCCCTGCAAACAGCATCGTCTGGGGAGGATGACGCAATATCTTCTGGAGATATAGTATGCAGATGATCGTCCGTATCCGAAATTTGTCCTTCTTCGGGCTCCGACAGGTGAGCTGAGGCTAAGGGGGTCTCCGGACGAGGTGTCGCCCTTTGACAATCTTGGATTGGAGGTGATTGTCGTGATTCATGAGGAGGTGGAAGAGAGCACATAGGAGAAGTTCTCTTCCTCTTTGACACTATTACTGCAGGCGATTGTGATCTCCTTTTCTGCCCTGCTGAGGTCTTCCATATTCATAGAATGACCAGTGACACCTGTAATCGAAGTGGTCAGGGGACAATCGCCGCGAGGAATATCTGCTAACATACCCCCTGTGATAAGATCTCGGAGGGAGTAACTTGGTGAGCGAGATCTATATGATGATCCCCGATGATAATAGGGATACCGGTCGCGATGACCAGAATGACGAAACCTCGATCTCCATCACAAAGAGGGCATTGTTTGACTGTGAGATGCCGAGTAATCTCTGACCCTTGCTGAATGGCACGGTGAAAACGAAGGTTCAGGTGATGGTGAAATCGAGTGTCTTGGCATTGACTTCCTAGCAGCTTTTGTAGGAACTTTAGAGGCAGGAGCAGCTTCCCTCCCTTCTACTGGTAAGGAACAGGGGGAGGGGAGAGGGGATTGACCCTCCGTCATGTGCACAGTGCTATCATGCTGCTGTGCTAGGATCCTGCATGGCACTGCGGCCAGCTCCCTGTCCGCTGAGACTGCCAATCGAGCGTGATTTCCCGGTGCCGACTCGGCACGGTGCGGGAGTCTCCTATAGACAACCACCTAACCTCAAGATGATTCTTACCAACCACCACAGGACATACCACACTAATACCAACCCTGGTACCTTCCCTTGCAACAAACCCCGTTGCCAGCTTTGTCCACATATTCATTCTGCTGATACCATTATTGGACCTAACCAAGTGAGTTATAAGATCAAGAACACATATTCCTGCGCATCATGAACATGTTGTCATGCTATCATGTGCCGAAAGTGTCCGTCTGCTATGTACATTGGACAAACATCTCAGACACTTCGCCAAAGGATTAATGCCCACAAAACAGATATCAGACAAGATCACAAAGAGAAAACAGTTTCTTGCCACTTTAACCAGAAAGGACACTCTCTAAATGACTTAGCCACCTGCATTCTGCTACAAAGACCTTTTACATCTGCACTTGAAAGGGAATCCTCTGAACTGTCATTCATGTTAAAATTCGACACTTACCAACAAGGACTTAACAAGTCTTTGAACTTTCTCACCCATTACCAAGACAGTTTCCCCAATTATCACCTGTAATACCATTAACTCACAAACATCCCACTCTCCCTACCTTTAATATCAGCAATTCACAGACACTTACCTTCCTTCCTCCCCCTTCCCACCCCCCCGCATCCCCCTTCTGTTCTGCAATGTGATTTGTCCTTTTCATATTTGTTCATTTTTTTAAATTGTATCCTTTGGTATATATGGTTGTGACTACTTTCTTCCACTATTTGATCTGAGGAAGTGGGTCTGGCCCACGAAAGCTCATCATCTAATAAACCATCTTGTTAGTCTTTAAAGTGCTACATTGTCCTGCATTTTGCTTCAACTACCCCAGGCTAACACGGCTACATTTCTATCACCAATCTGGAGGGGAGCTAGAGCGTTAGTGTGGGAACCTTGAGTCTCGAGGGCCACACTCACGTGAGCTGGGGTATTAGGTTCCTCACCCCTGCTTTAAAAACAAAACCTCTTACTCTTAAAAATCGATCCCCGTATCTCTGGTCGGACCAGCTTCACGCAGGTCCTCGGGGATGGAAAACTGCAGCAAACTGTATGAACAGAAACAAACAGAAGCCCCAATCGCAGCTGGAGGTGGGGCGAGGCTGCCGCTGCGAGCTGCTCTCAGGCATGCGCGGTCCGGCCCAGCTACGGCTCTGGAAATCTCCGACTAGCGGCGCCGGATCGGGACCCGACACCTTGAGTGGAGCACCCACGGGGACCACTCGAAGAAGAACACTGACGTTCTAATGTGTGAAATCAGAGCTTCTTGCACAAGAACTATGATGCTCCCACTCAGGAATAAGCCCTCTTGCGCAACTGTTCTTGTGCAAGAGGCCAGTATAGACAGGCAACATGAATTTCTTGCGCAAGAAATCCCTATGGTTAAAATGGCCATCAGAGCTTTCTTGCGCAAGAGAGCATCTACACTGGCACGGATGCTCTTGCGCAAAAGCACATCTTTTACGCAAAGGAACATGCCAGTGTAGACGCGCTCTTGCACAAAGAAGGCTTGCGTTAAAGAGTATTTGCACAAGATCATGCCAATGTAGACGTAGCCCTATATAATAATGAACCACTGGTTCTTAAAATTTCCCTATATTACATAGTTACTAGAAGACTTACCTGGCATTGCCCAGCTCCTTCAAAACAGGCAGCTGGCAGTTTGGGGTGTGTATGTGCAGGAGTCAGGCCAGGACATTGGGATGTGGGGAGGAAAGGGCAGGAGGTTGGTGGTATGCAAGATTGAGATGTGGGGGTCCCATCTGGTGGGGCCTTTCCCCTCCCTCTAGTCTCCCCAGTCAGGTAGGGTTTGTCTCACTCCCCCTCTCCCAGCACTGTAGCCAAGAGTTGGGGAGAGGGGTTTGAGGCAAGGGCACTACATACCTGGTCTGGTGGAAGACAAGATGGCGGGTCCCAGTCCAGCTTGCCAATCTCTTAGTAGTGTGGCTGCCCCCAGTGGTCAATCTGCAGTATCGTGTCCTTTCACACAGCAGCCCCCTCCCTTCCCATGTTCTGAACAACAGTCTAATTCCTGGCACTTCCTGTTTTCCTGGCACAACAAAACCTGACTTTGCTTTAAATTAGGGTAAAAGGAAGCTGCTTATCACATTTTGTGGCCCTAGCTCTTAATGTTTAGGAGGAGCAAAAGGACTCGCAGACAGACAGATGGACTCACAGACACAGAGATCCACTCTAAGGTATATATAGATTAGACCAATATATTTAACAGGGATAGGAAATAGGAACAGGGATCAAGCTTATTTTGAATGCACAGAATTCCTTATTGCATACAGCAGCTAACTGGCCAATCTCTGAATCGTACATTTTGGTTTGTTCCAGTTTGAGCAACACTATTTTAGTAAAGCTATGTGTGTTATACTTATTCGTGGACATATTCAGACTCCTGTAAACCCATTAGAAATGTCTGACTCAATTCCATAGATTTACTGTATGAAAACAACAGTATTTCCTTTTAAAATCAATTCTAAATTTGCTATCAATTTCTGTGTCCCCTCTTCTGTTATTATTAGACTAGATGAAAAGGAATGACTGATCTCTCCTAAATAAATCCTAGAATTTAACGTCCTCTGCTCTTGCTCTCTAAATATAGAATAATGGCTCCCTCCAGAAAGAAGCAGACAGCTCCACTGAAGCTTGTGGGAGCTGCAGAAGAACCTCAGAAACTCTCACAAGTCAGTTCACAAATCACTAATTGACTCTCATAATTAACCATTGCAAATCTCCTGCCATCTTCACTTACATCCTCTGAACTCAAGTTTGGCCACCAACAGACATTGCAATACTCTAGCTATGCAGACAGTATGTGTTTTGCACAGTTGTTATAGTAGTTTACTTCTATCCCATGTTAATAGAATATAGCATCCTGCTGGCTGTTTAGTGTAGTGCTGCACATTAAGCAGACAGCTTCATTCAGTGATCTGCAGTGAATCTATAAACTTTTTCCCCAAAAAGAGCTAGTTGGGTTAGAGGCCAAAGCTCACATTAATTCTCCCGAAGTGCAGTATGTATGCCCACTCTCCAATTACTTACACACACTGTGACTATGCATGCATTTTGTCAACAATTGATGGCTAGGAAACAATAATTGTACTTTCACTTTTATTGGGAAGACTATGAACACAAACAAACTTCTCACAAACTACAACAAATACCATCATGTTACCTTCAGATGGGTGCGCTTCAGTTCTGGGAAGTTTAGGGGAGAGAGAGACAGTGTAGGGTGGAGAATCCTGAGAATATCGTTTAGTACTTCTGTTTTCTGGTGTTTCCTCTTTCGCTGTGAACAGAAAAAGTTATAATCTTTCATTTCATAACTGACAACATTCCTGGGGGAAAGGGGAAAGATACAAACATGAGGTATATGTGCACTGTATTCACTCACTGGATTTTAATTCTGCTTCCCGTATTGCATGTTTTAGCTGACTGTAGCACAACTCTGACAGCAACTATCATACATCATTTTTGAAACATTATTCACGGGTTTTCAGTGATAATATTCTTTCACTATTAGCTTAACCTTATTATGGAGTCTCAGTTATCAAACACACACACTCAGGGCTAAAATATAGTTTGGTTAGATAGTTATCAGCCTCGTCACCTTGAGCAAGCTTCACCCTGAAGATAGTTCAAAATGCAAAGCTGCTTGCCTGACAGAGGAGATAACGAAAGCCTAATGGCATTCTGTATCTATGTTTCTATCAACTAAACTACTGAAATTACAACTGATTACAGCTAGTTTTAACTAGCAGCTCCTTAGGAGGAAAAATACTATTCCAAAAGAGTCACAGGAACACAGCTTCTATATAGCTATCCAAGTTTCTTCCCTAATAAGAATTTTCTTATTCCTGCAGAGTAAGGGCAGGAAGAGGCACGGTGAGACCTGGAGAAGAGCAGGGCTCGTCCTGGGCCCTGAATCCCCCACTGGATGGCCCTGCCTGAGGGTGGGCCCTCAGATGCCACTGTTCTAGCAGCCATGTCAGCTGCATCTAGGGCTGCCTGGATGGACGTCCTGGCTATAATCTTCCATCAGTGCAGAAAATTCCTATCTGGACTCCTGGGACAGCAAGTCCTTGAATTTTGACATCGAGTCCCAAACGATATAGTTGTATCTCCAAAGCAAGGCCTGCTGGTTGGAGATACAGAGCTGTCACACAGCAGTAGTGACCATTATGAGAGAGATTTTTTTTCTATATTGTTTTCAGATCTTACTCCTTTACTTTTAGGATTATTTTATTTCGACACTCAGTTTTCTTAGTCTCATTATGGGCTAAGGTCCTGGACACTGCTGACGTGGGTGCAGGAGGAGACTGCAGGGGTACCACGCTTCCCCTTGCAATGAAGACAAGGGTTGATGTGTTCTCCGCATGCAGAAATGGGGTCTTCACTTCCTAAATCACCAGTCAGATATCTATGAATCCTGGTTTCTCTCCCTATCTATGACAAATTATATGTAGCCTCAACACCTTTGGAATGGTCAGAGAAGGGAGAGAGAGAGTCTGGGTGAAGCACCTTTCAGCTGGGTAGCAGGATACTGCATTGAGTTGTGTAGGGTAAACTTCTTTTAGGCAGGTAATTATATTTTGCTACTGTAATTTAAATATATTTTACAATATATGCATAAATCAAGTAGCTCAAATGTAAAGTTTAAGGTAGATCATCTTATTACACCACAGTGGTGTGATGTATACATTTCCTTGTTTGCCTAAAGAAAAGAACTTGCTGAACGATACACTTTCCCACATATGGTTTAAATCACCATGACACACCAGGACTAATTTTACTAAAAACCACAAAGTAGTCGTTTCAAATCATTTCAAGTTGTAGGAAGACAGATCAAAACAAAGAATTGCACAAAACAACAACACTCCCCAAAACATGTATTGTACTTGAAAAATAAATAGTATAATGTAAATTACCTGGTTTGTTCCTATCATATTCAGTAGGACTCTGTGCACTCCCCACATAAGGACTGAAGGGTTGGCTACTAAAAAGATTATCACACTGTAGACTGTGGCAGAGCTTCTCCAAGAAACGCAAGACAAACGATGCACTGTTTACAGAAGGAAGATTGATGGCGTGTTTCTCCCCATCAAAGGAGGCTGTGAGTAAGAAGATGATGTCAGACATCAACCACACACTAGGAAATAGAGTATAACATCACCACTATCTAAAATATGATATCTTGTTTTCATTTAAATAGTGCAGAGAAAAAAAAAAAGAGGTAAACAATTCCACTAGTATCTCCTGAGGCTATTTAGCAAATTTACCTGCATAATCTTAGTTGCATCTGTGTAAATTCAGATTAGCTCTCCTGATACAGACAATGTTTAATTTCTGTTATTTGCTTACTGAACAACAAGAAATGTCACATGTTTATAGGAAATAAAACAGAAAATAAATTATAGTATAGTATTTCTGAGATCTGGTTTGTTCACATGAACTGCTCATTTGTTGCAGACTGTTGTCTGTTACAAACACAATGACAGTCAGGAATAACTGGTTTACCATTTTAAGAAGCATTGTTATTCAACATTATATAATCCAATCCAGCCATCATCGTGTAGGTCAAGCTTCCATTTATTTCAGTAGGAACTCGGCCAACATAAGGATTCCAAGAAAAGACACCAATGATAGTTAAGTTGCTTTAAAAGTCAGTTTATTACATGGATCTTAAGACAACATGAAGGGTGATATGCTTTTACCTTATTCTATATTTGTTACATAAGAACAGCCATACTGGGTTAGATCAAAAATCCAGTATCCTTCCTTCTGACAGTGGCTAATGCCAGGTGTTTTGGACAGAATGAACAGAACAGGCAATCAAGTGAACTGTCCTGTCGTAAATTCCCAGCTTGTGGAAAACAGAGGCTAGGAACAATACCCTTGCATATCCTGGCAAATCGCCATTCATGGCCCTGTCCTCCATGAATTTCTCTAGCTCTTTTTTGAACACTGTTGTTATAGTCTTGGCTTTCACAACATCCTCTGACAAAAAGTGCACACTCAACCTATGAAGAAATACTTTTGTTTGAAACCTGTTTATTAATTTCATTTGGCTACCCCTAGTTCTTGTTTTATCAGAAGAAGTATACAGCACTCCCTTATTTACTTTATCCATCCCGGTCATCATTTTACAGACCTCTATCATATCCCACCTTAGTCAGCTATCTTCCAAGCTGAAAAGTCCCAATCTTATTAATCTCTCCTCATACAGAAACCATTCCATAAGCCTGATCACATCAGATAATAATGTATCACATCAGAAATCTAACAGGTAACAAACACATAATTTATGGCTAAAAGAAACAGATCTGTATGTAGAAATTTCTGCGGTTTTGCGATCTTGCTGTTCCCACTCATTATGTACAATTTGGGAGTGTCCAAGAGTTTAGTATGATGGGTCTCTTCAAAAAAATAAGAAATGCTAGAGAGCATCATATACCATTGATGGAGAAATCAGAGGTGTGCTTTCATAAACAACACCTTTGTAAGCATGACTTTAAATTGAACAAATCTGAATTAGGGGCCATACCATGTTGAGGATCATTCCATCATCAATAAGGGGAAATGTATTCAGTGTTAAAAACTTATCTAGTGTTGTTTATACTAGTATCAGAAAAGTGGGACAAGTAGCACCTCTAATATGAAGTAATGTTATGTAGGTACTTTGTAAATGCAGTAAATATAATTTAGTATCAAAATGCTACAATAGATGATGAATTGAGGATTACTCAATATGAGAACTGTTCAATTAGACTTAATTTTAGTCTGCTACTCTTCATTTTATTCTGCTAAATAATTCCTCTCCCTTCTCAGCACTCACACAGAGCTGGTCAGAAAACTTTTGACAAAACTTTTTTTTCAATAGAATCTGTCAACTTGTTGAAGCCGAAACATTTGAGAATAAGGCTTAATTTTAGTGAAATTCTGCCAGAAACCAGCTAGGATCCCAATGTTTTTCCTTCCAGCTTTCCTGCCCAGCTCCTTGGCAGCCTAACTAGCAGACTGATGGGACAGCCAGGAGGAGCAGGACTTCCAGGCTTGCACTTGTGGCTCCTCCTCAGCCTGGATTCCCAGTAGAGTCGGATGAAGAATGATAATTCCCTTCTGTAGAGACTTTTGGGCTTTTGTTCCAAATTGGAATTAAACCAACTTTCAAAATTACTAAACCCCCCAGTAAACAGAATTGTTGTTCTCTACCTAGTTCAATTTTCACCCTTTATTTATATATTCCTTGGGCGAAGATTTAGTCCCTTGCAAACAATCAATAAAAAACAAAGATAATGTGTATGAAATGTATTTTGTTCTTGCAATTTGACAGTTTTTTGTTTTAATTATTTATGGCAATGCTCAACATGCTAGTAAGCATGCTTTAATATTTACTGTACAAATAAACATGCCTTAGTAACAAAAACTCATTTGTACAGAGTGTCTAAACTTTTTTTTAAAGTAGTAAAGAGAGAGCTCCATTTTGGGTCCAAACTTGTATGCAAATTGTGCATGAGAGTTAGAGAAGTTCTGCTACATATGGGTCGGGATGCTGTACCATAACAGTGTCAGGCAGCAAGTTCGTTTATGAGAGCTTTCATAAACCTGCTTTCCACTAATCATTTTTCACGTCTGCTATTAATATAAGGAGATTAAAGTAAGGCAAGCCCTTTTTACTTCCAATGATGAAATTATGAATTAATGTCGCTTACGACTATACACAAGATCCAGAAGGGAGAAAAATGACAAGATGCAGATGCTAAGTCTGAGCTATGAGGATAATTTATATACAGAGCTGACCTTAGCGCATGTAAGAAATAAACCCACTCTATAGTACAGCAGTGGTTCTCAACAATAAGTGTGGGGCTCCCTGAGCAGGTTTCAGAGGGGCCACTAAGCCTAGCTGGTGTTAGACTTGCTGGGGTCCAGAGCAGAAAGCTGAAGCCCTGTTGTGCAGTCCTGCAACCTGGGGCTCAAAGCCTGAACAACATATCTTTGTGGTGCCCCCTGTTGCATGGGGCCTCAGGAAACTGCCCTGCTTGCTACCCCTTAATGCCGCCTCTGGCTTTTATATGCAGAAAAATATTTGTGGCATATGTGGGGCAAAAAGTTTTTAATAGCATATTGGGGAGAGGGTTCAGAAAGAAGTAGGTGAGAACCACTGTAGCAGAGGGCATAGATGCTCAAACACTGACCCTAAAACACTAAGAATATTAACACAGAAAAAAAAAGAGAAGCATCAGCAGTTCTGTTTAACATATGGGATCAGTTATCTGGAATCTAAGCAGATTAGTGTTAAACTTTTTACTCACTCAGTTACAGCATCAAGAAAATATACACCTTATGGATTATGGATATGACAAGAATTAATAAAGCTGAACTTTGACTTGCACTGAAATTACTTGACAAATGTTTGGCTATGGCTATTTACTGTGGTATTTTACAAATTCTATTTTGTAAGAAATCAAACAGTGTTATAAGGTGTACATGTGATTTTACGTAGTCACTGCTGAATTCAAATTAACAAAATTTCTTGTATCATTTTACAGCCTGTATTAAAATGTAAATTTAGTGCTGGCCATACATGTATGGCCACCTGTAAATGTAGCTACAATTGAGTATTCTTAGCTATGGTTAAATATTTACAAAAGTAACATAAAAACATTAATCACTGCTTTGCTACATCAACTCCCCTACTTTAGACCACACTCAAATTTCTCAAACATAACCCAGTGAACAAAGTGGAAAAATTCTGCATACCTGTTATCATCTCCCCTCCATGATGCCCTGACTTGAGGAATCCAAAGACTGTTTTGGATAGATAGGCACAGTCTACACAGGCCTGCACAGCCTGCTGAAGTACCACATTTACAGGGCCTGGTCCAAAGTGATCTGGAAGCTGCTGAACTTTCTTCTTATCCAGATGAGGTCCAGAGTTCCCATGCTTATTAACATAGACACAAACTGAAAAATTGCAAGCCATATTTATGGAATCTGCCCTGTTCAGTCATAATCACACTCAATCAAAATGTATTTCAGTGGCTCTCACTGAAAGTTGTATTGAATTAAGTCGATGCGCATAAAATGCAAAAACACCATGCACCTTCTGTACATGCATTACTTTAATAACACAATTTACCACTCATTTCAATAGTTTACAACTTAACATACAATGCAGAAATGGATAAATCATGAATTCTAGCAGATTATAGTAAAAACAGGATATTGACCAGGTTGCCAAAACTGTTAGCTAGACAGGCTTCCCTTTTCCATTCTAGAAGACCACCTGGCACTCAACTGTCCACCTCTGTATCCCAGTCTGTTTTAAAGCAACTCCAAGGCATTTCCCTTTGCACTACATGTTCAAAATGGCATCTTCGGTGTATTGTCTCCACATTAACACGAAATGTATCTTGGTTATCTTCTACTTAACAAAATGCATTACTGTAAAATGTCCTGTGTTACTGTTACAATTAAAGTCTAACTAAACAACAGTCAAGTTCGTTTTAAGATGACACTTTTTCCAGAAACAAAATAAAACAAGCAATGATCCAAGAAAAGACAGGCACCTGTAATAACTCAAAAGCTACTATGGGGATCACACTCTATGGCTAAAACAGAATACAGGGTGAAAGTCTGACCCCGCTAAATTCAATACATGTTTTTCCATGTATTTCAGTGGGACCAGAATTTATTGTTGTCTAATAAGGGTATGCTTTGGTGATGTTGCAATAGACTAAAGCATTAAATAAAATACAAGAATCCTGTTTTTTAATGGATTACAGTATTATTTGGGCACAAAGGAAACTTAGATTTTTCAAATTATTGAGACTTGCAAAATACTGTAATGTTCCTGAACTCTGCATTCATGTCTCTTTTCTGATTCACAGAAGAAGCGGTGGGAGGCACATTTTTGGATGTGGAGAGAATTAGAAACTCTGTAAAATATTAAACTCTTATTTGGCATCAATAATGTTTGTAAACTTGAAAGAATTGTTTTAATATGAAACCATTGCCTATTCTGCTCCAACGCTGTCTAGCAGTAAAGGACGGGATAGCTGCAAGTACGCAGAGAAAGCAAAGCAGTGGGACAGTTTCTTTGTAAAAATAGCTTAAAATGGCAAAACAATTAAAAACATGGTAAACTTTTCCACACTGTTTTTGGGTACTTTTAGCAGGTCCCAGGATTTGATGATGACCAAACAGCTGACAATTTACGAACTGTCCCATTACAGTATAATAAAGAGACTGTAGGGATAACATATCAATGTATTAAAAATGTGATTCCCCCAAATGGAAGTGACTCCCCATAATTTGTTCCCCACAACTTAAAAGTGTTTAGATTTATTATTAATTCTTATTCTTATTATTTGTTAAGATTGTTAAATGTTTAGATTTATTATTATTATTATTGCCCCTTTAGAATATAATGTATTAGGTCGTGTAACTTAGAACTGTTAAGAATATAATCCTATGTAGCCAGAAACAGCCCCCCCTCTGTGCCCCAGGGCATGCTCAAGCTTGTGCCAATGCATTGTCAAGCCACTAACTCTGCTATGGGAGCCAAGCCCTGCAATTGACTAAGGGCATTGTTACTTAATTGACGCCTGTTCTCTTTAAAACATTGTAACTTTATTCAGCACTCAGAGAATGTTTTAAGCAATACCACCCAGAAACTTTTTGTAACTACAACTCTGATATATGTAAAGTTATTATTATACAAAAATATTGTATGGGAAACATTAATTAAGGAATGTATGTAAGAGAGTGTGCTTGGATGAGGAGTGAATGGTTCTGAGAGGTGCCAGCCTGAGAATACAGCAACAAAGGGCTGAAGAAGGCGTCAGGTGCCAGTGCAACCAAAAGGTGTCAAGTGGAGAAAACCAAGTACTGGAGGTCCACCCGATGAGATCACTGACGAGCACCTGGCAGCCACCCTGGAGACATCAGCATGATGCAGCAATTTCCAGAGACTGGAATAGGAAGAAATTCCTATAAGAACTGGACTAAAAAACTATGGAATCAGAGGCCAAGGTTCTGCTGCCAGCCTACCAGGAGCTTCAGATGCGCATCTGATCAGGACTTCGCTCCCCACTACCATCACTTGTGTACAGAGTACCTGGCCAGTATTCTGTCACAAGCAACTTCCAGGCTGGTAACTATAACAAATACACAGAACCTGAATGAATGGATGAATGAATGTTTATATGTATAAGGGTTAAGTAGTTAAACAACATTGTTTGCTTCTATCTTTTCTTTATTTTTTTATTATTATCTTTACAATAAATGTGGCTTTTTGCCTTTTCTCCCTCATAAGATCCTGCTTGCTTTTATTGGTACAACAAGACTGCTTAGAGGGCTGTTTAGCTCTAACTAGTTGACTCCTTTTCCAGGACCACTTTATAATATAGTTCATTGCCTTTCCATTTTAAATGAGTTCTTGTTTTAACCTGGCCTATTTCTCCTGGATTTTGTTTTTTCCAGTGAAAAACTATGCGACAATCACATCTTCTTCTCTATTTCCATACTCTCTGGAGTATAACAGTAGTATCTGATGTTCTTTTAGAAACAGTCATTTCCAGTACATTTTATTACTGGATAGGACAGAAGTAAGGTGAGACAAAGCATGCCCTTTCTTCTTCATCTACCATTGTATCCCAGGTGATGGAAAGCTTTTGAAAGTGCTATGGAGTTTCTGATTTACACACAAAAAAAACGCTTGCTAACCAGACATCAGATTCCTGATATTCTGGTGTTTCCTGCCATTGAACATTGCACCAAATAACAGTTTTACCTACGTACATTTGGAGAACTGAAATATAAAAATATATTTTCATATGATGATGTTAGCAAAACAATTTATTTTCAGCAGGTGTTCTCATTGGTGTCCGGTAGCTTAGGCGGGGGATAGCTCTGCCTTCCCAAAACACCAGCCTGGCCCCGCCCACAGTCACACCAGTCTGGCCCCGCCCACAGTCCATCCCCAGAACACATGCCCCCAACACCTGCCCTCCCTGTGTTCCTGGCTAGAGAGGCTAGAACCACACGACCATGTCTCCTCCCCCAGTGCTCCGGTAGCTGTGCTATGCGCATGCACCCCTTCGCCTCTCTGCCCCTCCCAGGTGCTCTGGGGAGGCTGGAGAGCACTAGACATGCTTCCCTGCCTCCTTCCTTCCCCACTGCTCCGGGAGCTGCGCTGTGTGTACGCTGTCCCACCCCCTTCCCTGAAAGGACATGCTTGGTGCGCTGCCCTGCCCTGTCTCCTCCCCTCCGCATGGGGGGGCAGGGCCTCAGCACAGGGGGCAGGGCTATAGGTGGCCCCCAGCTGCACCAACCGCCCCTGGGTTTTTTAGAAGAGTAGCAGCATAAAACAATCTTACTGTTTTTTTTCTATAAAGGGGAGAGTAATTTCATACATTCAGAGTTCCTCCTATACCTGTGGATATAACTGGCGATGTTGGACCAACAATGCCAACTCCATCTTTAAGTATCTGTGTACTGCCACTGTCTGCTTCAGAAGTAAGCAGAGGAGAAGGTGCAGGAGGAGATTTCACTGGCAAGATTTTTTTCTGTTGAAAAAAAACCCCGAACACAAAATCAGTAATGACCTTTTCTTAAACAATTTTCATTCATAAACAAACTATGCACCATCAGTCACCATTCGCTATTGAGGTAAAGAACACACACCTTCAGCTTTCCACCTACTGCAGTGAAACTCAGCTCCTTCTCCATGAAGAAGTTCTAGAAACATTAACCCACTCAGGGTATTAATCTATAACAAGACAGACTTTATGACTTTGGAACACAGATCAAGTCATCTCTGGGTATGTTTACACTGGTGTAATTTCCAGCTTTGATAAATATATCCATGCTAGGTTTCATTGAACTAGCATACTAAAAATAAAAGCATAACTGCCAAGTATGAGCTCATCTAGAACCTTAAGGAAGGTACTTGGGATGGATATTGCTATGGCTACACTTCTATATGTTCATGTACTACCTCAACCAGAGTTAGATCAAGAACATCTACCTGAGCTGGAAATTATGTGTTGGTTTACTCTCCTCTGCTTCATGCCCTGAACTGATCAAGTCTCTGAATAGGCTGATTGGGCTTTCAGGCAGCTCCAGCAGACAGCCTCCTTAAGGCTAAGGTACTGTAGGAAAAGAAGAGGTTACTTACCTCGTAACTGTAGTTCTTTGAGATGTGTTGCTCATGTCCATTCTGCATCCCACCCACCTCCCCGTGTCGGAAGGAGCCGGCAAGAAGGAACTGAGGGGGTGGAGGGGCCAGCAGGGGTATATATGCACTGGTATACCAGCGCCACTCCAGGGGGCTCCCTGCTGGCCCTAGGGATACTGCCAATGGAAAAAAGCTCCGGAATCCGTGCACATGGTGTGCGTACACCTAATCAGAATGGACATGAGCAACACATCTCAGAGAACAACAGTTATGAAAGGCAAGTAACCTTTTGTATTTCTTCGAGTACTTGCTCACATGGATACCATATTAGGTGGCGCACAGACTCAAAGGTAGACTCACAGTTCATGGCTGAGCTGCTTGCAATACTGCTCTGCCAAAGCTGGAGACATCCCAGACATTGCATAATTGCATAATGCTCCGCAAAAGTGTGCACCGAAGACCAGATTGCTGCCCTGCAGATTTCCAAGATCGGCACGCAGGCCAGGAACGTCGCCGACGTTGCCTGGGCTCTCGTGGAATGTGCCATTATGCGCGGCGGTGATCTACCCGCGCCCTCGTAGCACAATCGAATGCAGGAAGTAATCCACGAGGATATACACTGCGCCGAGACTGGCTGCCCACACATTCTTTCCGCCACTGAAATAAACAATTGAGTTGACTTATGGAACTCTCGTGTCCTATCTATATAAAAAGCCAATGCCCTCCTAACATCCAGGCAGTGCAAAGCCTGTGGCTTGGGGTAAAACACTGGCAGGTAGATATCCTGGGACATATGGAAGTGCGAGACATCCTTGGGAAGGAACCCCTGGTGTGGACGCAACCTCACCTTATCTTTAAAAAACACCATGTAGGGTGGTTCTGAGATAAGAGCCCTAAGCTCTGACACCCTCATGGCCGAGGTAATGGCCACGAGGAAAGCTACCTTATAGGACCGGTGCTTCAAAGAGCATGAAGCCAGAGGCTCGAACGGGGGCTTCATAAGGGCAGTCAGGACCAGGTTAAGGTCCCAAGTCGGGACTGGAGGTCTCTCGTATGGCATCATTCTGTCAATTCCCTTCAGAAATCTTTTAACCACGGGATTGGCAAAGAAAGCCCTTTGACCCCCCCCCCCAAAGCGTGGAAAGGGTATTCCAAAACAGTCTGAACTGCCCCTTCACCTGGAGCGAGCGTCTTGCCCTCCAGCCACGAGGTAAACCTCTTCCACTTAACCTCATAAAGGGCCCTAGTGGACGGCTTTCTAGGAGGACCTCCTGGACTGCTCTAAATCAAGCCTGCTTCGTCACTGAGAGCCACTGAGGAGCCACGTTGCTAGGTGCAGAGATGGTAGGCTCGGGTGGAGTGCTACCCTGGCCTCGCAGTTCTGAGTGATTAGATCCGGCACGAGGGGTAGCCTGATCGGGCCCTCCACAGTCAGATCCAGCAGGGTGGTGAACCAGTACGGCCGAGGCCACACTGGCGCTATCAGGATGATCTGGGCCCCGAACCTCTGCACTCTGAGGAGTGTGTCGTGGATCAGAGGGAACGGGGGGAAGGCATAGAGTAGTCCCCTGGGCCAGCTGATCTGCAGTGCATCGCCCCAAGAGCCCAGACTGTGTCCCATGTACGAACAGTACTCCCTGCACTTGGCGTTGCTCAGAGTCACAAACAGGTCCAGGCGGGGAGACCTCCACCTTTGGAAAACCCCGTGAAGTACGTCCCACCTTAGCACCCACTCGTGTGCCTGGATCCAACGGCTGAGCCTGTCTGCTAGCCCGTTCCTGGTTCCCGGAAGGTGAGATGCCGCCAGGTAAATACTGTAGGCTATACACAGTTCCCATAGATCTAGGGCTTCCCGGCACAGGGGAGAGGAACGCGCCCCACCCTGCTTGTTGATATAAAACATGGCCGTAGTGTTGTCTGTCAGCACCGCCACCACTCTGTTCCGCAGGTGGGGCGGGGAGACCTCCACCTTTGGAAAACCCCGTGAAGTACGTCCCACCTTAGCACCCACTCGTGTGCCTGGATCCAACGGCTGAGCCTGTCTGCTAGCCCGTTCCTGGTTCCCGGAAGGTGAGATGCCGCCAGGTAAATACTGTAGGCTATACACAGTTCCCATAGATCTAGGGCTTCCCGGCACAGGGGAGAGGAACGCGCCCCACCCTGCTTGTTGATATAAAACATGGCCGTGGTGTTGTCTGTCAGCACCGCCACCACTCTGTTCTGCAAGTGGGGAAGGAACCGCCCGCAG